CATATGATCCATATACTGTTATTGTTAGTAGGCTAATTGCAACATAAAAAATAACACTTCAAAAAGACAAAAAAGTTGAAAAAATAAAAAAAAAATCAAATAAATAGAAAAAATCATGAAAAAATAAAAAAAAATCCTTGATTTTTGATTTTTTTAAAAAAATCAAAAAAATCACCAACCCTGTTTTTCTGAGATTTGCCTGTATATATCTCGAAGTCATAAACGAACCCTCTTGATCCTGCTCGTGATATTACTTTGTATCCCCATTTGTGAGTTTTTTTTTGGATTGTATTGTTTCAAAGATATGCGAGCTTTTGTGGGAATGATTTGCTCGTCTACAACTTGATGTTCTTCCTGTGATACCTTCTGGCAATTTGTTCTGACAGATTCAATTATGGGTCTCATTTTGAATAACTTGTCAAAATCAGGATCATCTCTGGTCTTCTGTTGCGTGTTGTCATTGAAATGAATATATCTCTTTATCTCTTCAAACTTATCTCTACTCATGATTTCTGATATTGCGGCCAGTTGCAGGCCTTTCTGCCAGTATGTCCGATAGCTGGGAACTTTTATAATACCAGTTAGAAGTAGAATTCGCAATAAGCATTTCATGTCAGTATTTTCAAGACGCATCTCTTTGCCATCCTTCTGTAGTGCATGCAGTTTAGTTTGTTGAACAATGAAATCTATAAGAGCATCATCAAAAATCAAATTGAAAAATGAAGTTGCACTAAATGTTTGCCATTCTTCATCAACAATAAAACGGTCTTTCCATCCAATATCATTAGGCGGAGAAAAATATTTTTTTCTCCATATGAATTCATTTATTACATTCTTAGCTGCTCTCTGTTGCTCTGCCATAATTGAAAGTGGAATATCATTTTCGGATGCACCATCATGCACTTCGACATTTGGCAAGGTGCGAATATGTTGGATAGTATCTTCTTTTTCAATATCATCATATACAGCAGATTCAAATTCTTCATCATCTTCATCAGATTTATCACCATCAGGACAGAGTACCATCTTCACAGCTTCATCTAATGTCAGAAACTTCCTACCCTGGCGAATTGCTGAGTGCTTCTGTACCTTTTCTTATTCGGTCAAGTGTTCTGTGTTAGATCTACTTGGTCCCGGCTGCTCATAAGACATGATGGATCTGCAATACAATATAAGGAATAACTACTTAGGACTACAAAAATTTCATTGGTAATCAAGGAAATAGTTATTGCTGTCACGACGCTCTTCTACTCAGTTGTTTACCAACTTGTGAATTACTGCCGGATGTAGCAAATAAGCTACATATCATTTCAAAACCTTAGATTTCAAAATGTTCATGTTATATAATATTTTTGACAATTTTACCCCCTCCAATTTTTTTGTTTTTTGGTAAAATAACTCCAGGTTTTGATGCATTGTAGTAGAACTCTTCTAGTTACATATGCAAATGACAAATTTTAGGAAAGTGTCACAGTTTGCAAATGGGGGGTGCTGCCCCCAAATGGGGGAACTTAGACCACCTAATGTCAGCCCTGACGGGGTAACATAGACTGGCTTGGAAGTTAATATAAAATTACCATATATAATGTATTTTATGTTTGACAACCTATTAATGTTTTTTCTTTATGTTTCAGACTCTACAGAGTCTTATAGGTATATGGTAATTTTAACTTAATTTCCAAGCCAGTCAATATTACCCCATCATGGCTGCCATTAGGTAGTCGAATTTCACCCATTGCGGGGCAGCACCCCCATTTGCAAACTATGACACTTTCCTCAAGTTTGTCATTTGCATATGTAACTAGAAGAGTTCTACTACAATGCACCAAAACCTGGAGTTATTTTACCTAAAAATATAATTGATTTTACCACCCGGTCTAAGATACCCCAAGAGCTGGGTTAACAAAGACCATCACTTTTTTTTAAATTACATAAAAACTATGAGAGGCAGGAGCCAGCAATTTATGGTGAGGGAACCTAGATTATAGACCTGTATTTTGGATGTTTCAATTCAAGTTTAATTTAGCTAGTAAAAAAATGGCATAATTAAAAAAAAGTGGTTTAAGTTACCCCATTTTACGGTATCAAGCATCATGTCTGACACCTGGTTCTCATTATTTTTTAATGTTAGCTGAACAGGGAGTAGTTGCCCGTGCTCAGCAGAACCAAACGTTGCCAGAACATGTACAAGATGTGCATCAAATCTAGGCATCCACTTGTATATTTATTTGATCTCATAATTTTATTATTACTGCTGGTTCCAAGTGGAACCACTCAGCATTAGTGGGTCAATGGACAACAGTGGTGGTCATGATAGTGTTTTAAAGCGTGAGACATGCCTTATTATACATGAAGATAGCACGAGACATGTCTTAAATGCCTTTTAAATGACCATGTACCAATTAATGTATTTGAGGAGCGCAGTGGCCAAAAGAGGAGCGTGCTCCCTCCCAAAGTAGCAGGAGCTGGGAGGCCCTGGACAAGTGCAACACAGCGCCACAGCACCCAAATCACATCCATTTCCTTAACAATTGCATATTAATGCATCAACAACAGTTAAAGCACATGTAAAAATTCAATCCTGCTTATTGCATGTATTAGTACTGAAAAATAAGGTGACTTAGAGGGACCATTGAGGCATTGAAGGAGTGAATTGGATCACTTTGTCATTTAAGAAAGAAGAACTTGTACTCAAAAAGTTCTTTTGCCATTGAATAATCATGTTGATAGCAAATGGCTCTTGAGGTACCATGGGCATGATGCTGTGTGAGATAACCTACAAAATACAAATGCAATAAATACATGTATGTTATGTATTTACTTTGTGACTATTTGTATTATGGAAAGGTAAGTGCTAAAAATGGTCCAAGTCATCCCATCAAATCCAAGTTGTTTTTTTAAGTATTTAAAAAGGCATCATTGGTTGTTTTTGATTATTTGGTATTCTCAATCAGTCTGAGTCAGTAATTTTAGTTGGTAGTCAATTATATACCGTCAACCGGGGCTACTTGGGACAGGCGGGGCTACTCGGGACAGGCCTATGACACGTTGTAAAACTGTTGTAGTAGTGAAACTAATTGGAATATCGCAAAACTAAAAATAGTGGCGTAAACGTAACTATTTTTCCTATCTATCTAGTATAAAGGAAGTTGAAAAACACTAAATTTACTTGCTTTGAAAAATTCCTGAAAAAAATGGTGAAAAATTATGTTTTGTAAAGTTGCTCCGAAACGTTTTCAATATCGATATGGTGAATTTTCTTGGCATTTTCTTTGCTTTTAAATTCCTTGTGAACTTGCGATATAAGCAGACTAATGATATAAGTGCAACTGCTAAGGTATGTAGCAAAATAAATATTCGCTGTATTAAAAAATTTTACTTACATAAAAGTTGCACCCAGGTGTCAGCTTGAAAACGTAATTGACAGAATTTGCCTATCTCATTCCAAAAAGAAATGGCAGCCATTTCCGCGCGGCGGGGCTACTCGGGACACCCCCCCGGGGCTATTTGGGACACCCCCAAACACGCATTGAGGGTAGAACCTCAGTTAGCGAAGGCTTCAATTACGAAAAAAATTGATTAAAAACAAAGAATATTGATCACATTTTCCTTGCTCAGCAAAAAAAATTCACTTATCGAAAAATTAGTGCATCATTGGTCATCACAAAATTGTGCATAGCATGTCATGTATAGAATTGTGCACCAGGCATTATAGAATGAAAAGTAATTGACCTAAACTATGATTTATTTCTCCAAAAGATAGGCTGGTTGTCACTCAAACATTCCTTTCACCAAGGTTAATGATCACGGGAAGTTAATGATCACGCAAAGTTAATGATCACGGGAAGTTAAATACTAGGTGAAGTTAATGATCACACAAAGTTAATGATCACGGGAAGTTAAATACTAGACGAAGTTAATGATCACACAAAGTTAATGATCAGGCAAAGTTAATGATCACGCAAAGTTAATGATCACGTGAAGTTAATGATCACGGGAAGTTAATGATCACGCGAAGTTAATGATCAGGCAAAGTTAATGATCACGCAAAGTTAATGATCACGTGAAGTTAATGATCACGGGAAGTTAATGATCACCTGAAGTTAATGATCACGTGAAGTTAATGATCACGGGAAGTTAATGATCACGCCAAGTTAATGATCAAGGGAAGTTAATGATCAAGCGAAGTTAATGATCACGTGAAGTTAATGATCAGGCAAAGTTAATGACCACGCGAAGTTAATGATCATGTGAAGTTAATGATCACGTGAAGTTAATGACCACGGGAAGTTAATGATCACGGGAAGTCCCAATTAAAATGATGTGAAATTATGAGCCTTCCTGTAAGCTTACAGATAGGAAAAAAATGTTATAAGGCTGCTGATATGAAGCTTGCAGTGGACAAGGTTGTTGTAAATGCTCAATGGCATGTTCATGGATACAGTAATATCACATCAATAATACAGTAATATGGCATCAATAATCTTTTGTTTTGCAAACAAAAGCAGGGTCATAAACGATGGCCAAAGTCACTCCAGCATTTATGACTTTGTTTACGACCCTGGCGTTTATGACCCTGGCTTTTATGACCCTGGCTTTTACTACCCATTCTACATCATCTACAATGAAAGAGGAGGACTTCTGAGTATTGTTAGTAATGGATGAGTAGGCTCTGCATGCTTCAAATGTTTTGAAATGAAGTTTTATTCCCATTGTCCTGAGTAGCCCCCACCGACAGGGCTACTCAGGACAATCTCTATTTTGCGTCTGGCACCTTATGAATAGCATATGGAATTTTTTTGACAACGCCATTTGATAGCCCTGCCAATTAGCTATAAAATGAGACTAAACTTGTTTATGAAATGTTTCATCATGAGAAGTTATTAACTGTTATTTAAAACTAATCGTTCAAATCTGTCCAGAGTAGCCCTGGTTGACGGTATGCTTGAAATCATATTAGAATTATTAATCACATGACTGTCTTTCTTTCTTTTTTTTTGCAGAAAATTTTGATAGTTTGTAGTTATCAGATAAGATTTTCTGATTGCAATGGGTCACATTACTGGAAGAAGAAAGGGAAACAAAAAGAAAGTCAATAGAAACTTAGGCAAGAGATGGAAAACCAAATATTGGCGAACAACAAAAGATATTGATCAGGTAAGACTACTTAATGTATAAGTTTCTGTCCCTAATGCAAAGATGAACAAAAATTTTTTACAATGTGTCACCCATAGTGACGAAGAAGAATTGAGGAGCATGGTGGCATACACATACACCCATGGTGGCAAAGCATACGCTTTTAGACTCTTCCTCGAGTTCATTTTTGGGTCCTATGAGTAGGCCTGTGAAGTATTGTGGATGCCAGTATTATCATGCATAAGATATTGGTTTGTTTCGAGTGTCTTGAAAAGATGAGGAAATTAAAAATGAACTGATATTTAAAATTATCTGGTTTGCTGCTATGGTTTCACCTGCACTGCCTGATTGGAAAATTGGGCAGAAACCACCTAAAAATTGGACATAATTGCCTGTGAATCTGGACAATTTCACCTATTCCTGTTTCCATTTCCTGACTTCTTCAGTACTAATAAAGAAGAAAAATAATATGCGTTTAAAAATTACTTTTTAAAGACAACACTTCCAGAGAATCCAGTGTCTCCAATCTTAAAGGTGTACCATGAATATCTCATTTAATTTTCGAATATTAAAAAAATTAATTTTTCAATTTTTTTAATATATAAATTTTTTTGATATATAAATTTTTTCAAAATTATTTATTCTATTAATTGATTCATGCATTGCCTCTGACTTCACACAAGTGTGCAAAATTTAAGATCAATTAGACAGGTAAAAGTGTGTCAAATATCAGTTATAAGATTTGTAGCTGACAAAATTATTTTTTCAATTTTTTAATATTGAAAAAATTTTTTTTTTAATTTCTAAAATCATTTATTTTGACATTTGATTCATGCATTGTCTCCAACTTTACACAAGTGGGCAAAATTTCAGATCGATAGGATAAGTAGAAGTG